CTATCAGAAGAAAATGCATACCATCTTGAGTATTTGTTCACTAGTATAAGCCTCAGCAGATACACTGATTAAATCTTTCACTTGTAAAGAACTACAGTTAAAATGAGAGACAACTGGATTTTCTCAGAATTTCAAATTGCATCAGAAGAAAATGCATACCATCTTGAGCATTTGTTCACTAGTATAAGCCTCAGCAGATACACTGATTAAATCTTTCACCTGTAAAGAACTACAGTTAAAATGAGAAAATGCATACCATTGCTCTAAACTCTGACTCAACACTACTTCGAGAAACAACGACTTGTTTCTTACTTCTCCAAGTCACCAAATTACCCCAAACGTAGGTACAGTAGCCACTAATTGACCTTCTATCAGTTAATTCACCTCCCCAGCTTGCATCCATATAAACTTTCACTGTTCTGTCTTGATTTTTTCTAAATATAAGTCCAACTCCTGGGGTAAACTTCAATAACCTTAGAATTCTGTTAACAGCTCCCAAATGTTCTTCTCGAGGATCACTCATATGTTGGCTGACAATGCTCACTGAGTATGCAACATCAGGTCAGGTCAGTGAAAGGTAGATCAAGTTCCCAACTAATCTTTGGTAGGTTTCCTTGTTTACTGGATTTCCAGTCCCGTCCTTGCAAAATTTCAAGCCTGGCTCCATTGGAGTTTCAACTGGTTTGCAGTCGAGCATCCCTGTTTCTGCAAGAAGATCCAAAACATACTTACGTTGGTTTATGACCAACCCTTCCTCGGACCTTGCAACTTCCATACCCAGGAAATACATCTTACTCCCTAAATCCTTGGTTTCAAACTCCTTTGCAAGATTCATCTTTAGCTTTTCTATTTCTTCTATATCACTGCCAGTTATAATCATATCATCTACATAGACAATTAGGAGAGTTATCTTACCACTCAGTGTAATTTTTCTGAATAATGTGTGATCCACTTGGCTTTGAAACCATTATGTATCATAGCCTTAGCAAATCGATCAAACGAAGCCTTGGGAGACTGTTTTAAGCCATATAAGGATTTATTGAGCTTGCACATAGTTTTTTTAGTGACATTTCCTTCTAATCCGGGGGGGCCTCCATGTATACCTCTTCTTTAAGGTTGCCATTCAGAAAAGCATTCTTTATGTCCAGCTGATGCAATTTTTAGTCCATGTTAACAGCTACTGATAACAATATTCTGATGGTATTCAATTTTGCAACCGGTGCAAAAGTCTCCTGGTAGTCGATGCCATAGGACTGAGAGAAACCTTTAGCAACCAGCCTTGCCTTGTATCTTTCCACACTCCCATCCAAATGATATTTGATTGTGAATATCCACCTGCATTCAACAGCTTTCTTCCCTTCTGGAAAATCTGTCAAACTCGTGTCTTATTCTTTTGCAACTCTTTTATCTCCTCTTCCACAGCCTTTTTCCACTCAGGAGATTGAAATGCTTCTGTCACATTTCTTGGGATTTTCACACTGTTCATGTTGGCAATGAAGGCCCTGAAATTAGATTTTAATTTTCCATATACAACATACTTATTTATGGGATGAGAAGTGCATTTTCTTACCCCCCCCCCTTTCCTAATAGCAATAGGAAAGTCATCAAGATCAACAATAATAGCCTCTTGGTAACCATCATTACCTTTTGTTTTAGATGCAACAAGACCCGAATATAGTTCTTGGCAAATGCTAGGCTGATTGATTTCTTTAGCAACATCTTTCCTTCTTCTTGAGTAAACACTGAGTTGTTTCGGTTGGGAGTTATGGTTTCAGGGTCATTGTCAGGTGCATTTTTTGTAGTGGTGGAAGGTGTTTTGCACAGACTAGAGTGTTGAGATAAGGAGGAAGATAATTCATCAGAGTTATTTAGGTTATTCTCATCTCAGTGCTACCGGCTTTGGAGAGACAATAATAGGTAAAGAAAGGATAGGTTGTATAGAAATATTGGTTTGAACATGATGAAATTCCTTGTAACTCTCCCCCTGAATTTTTGTTCCCGAAAAATAAGGTTTATTTTCAAAAAATGTAACATAAAAGGAGACATAGGTCTTTTTTGTGGAAGGTGAGTAACACTTGTAACCCTTTGACTCAAAGAATAGCCCAAGAACACACACTTTATGGACCTAGGATCTAATTTCCCTCTGTTGTGGATATGAACAAAGGTTGTACACCCAAACACCCGAGGAGAAAGACTTGAGTTTAAATGTTTAAAATGGGGAAAAATATGAAACAGAACCTTAGTAGGAATTTTGAAATCTAAAGTCTTACTTGGCATTCTATTGATAAGGTAAGTGGTTGTAAGAAGAGCTTCCCCCAAAGATACTTAGGAGCATTAGCAACAAACAGAAGAGACCTAGTAACCTCTAGAAGATGTCTATTTTTCCTTTCTGCTACCCCGTTTTGTTGAGGTGTGTTGATACAAGACGTAAGGTGAACAATGCCTTTTTCCTTAAAGAAATACCAAGAGTTTTATTCAAATACTCACTCCCATTGTCACTTCTTAGAATTTTGATTTTTGTGTCAAATTGGGTTTCAACTTTTTGATAAAAACTTTTAAAGAGAGACTCAACCTAAGACTTTTCTCTCATTAAGAATACTCATGTTGTCCTAGAGTAATCATCTATAAAAAACACAAACCACTTATACCCAGAAATACTTTTGACAGAAGAAGGGCCCCAAATGTCACTATAGATGATGGAAAAATGTGTTGTTGGTTCAAATTTGGCTGCAATATATGGTTTTCTGGTGTGTTTGGCTATTTGACAAAATTTCACAGGAAAACAAAGATGGATCTTTATTTATAAATAAGTTCGGTAACATTTTGGAAAAATAGAAAAAATTAGGATGACCTAATCTAGAGTGTCATAACATAATTTTATTGGTATTGAGATCAGAAGATAAAATTGGTTTCCTAAGAGCACTGGATAAGGCATGATTATGAGATGCTTTACCTCCAAGGATGTACAATCATTTGCCCAGCCTAGCACTGCCAATGACCCTCTTCGAATCTTGTGCCTGAAAAATGCAACCACCAGTACCAAACACAACATTACAACCATAATCTTTAATTAATTTACTGACTGACAACAGATTGCATGCAAGTCTAGAAACATAGAGGACATTATGAAGTATTAGATTTTTGTTTAATGTAACAGAACCACTCCCTTGGACTGTAGTGAGAGAACCATCTACTATTTTGATAGAAGCTGGTAAGCTGCTTTCATTATATTCCCCCAAGAGATCAATATTTCATGTCATATGATCTGATGCACCCGAGTCTATTATCCATTGTACTGAGGAAGTATATAGATTATTTCCATCAGTAGCAGTATAAGTCACATTGGTAGGCTTGGCTGTCATACTGCTCAAAATCTGCTACAGCTCCTCTATCTGTTTCTTGCTAAAACTGCTTGAGGAATCATCTTGAGAGGCAATATTGGCCTCCTTTTGAAACTTGGACCGTGTGGGCTGCCAATCGGCTGGTTTTCCGTGCAACTTCCAACATTGATCTATCATATAGCCTGGTTTCTTACAATGTTCACACCAGAGGCGATTTTTCCTCTGCTGCTTTGAAAATCTGAAATCTGAAAATCAGATTGAGAGGGGTTGGTCTGGGAAGTGATTTTGGATGATGAGGGATCCGGATTAGCCATGAAAAAAATAGAGTTGAACAGGAATTGATTTAAAGAGAATCAAAAATCTGATTGATCGCTCAAACCTGATACCATGTAGAAAACAGAGTAATTCTCTGTTATTTTATTCATCTGTTCATTCAGTAGAACATATTACATATTTATATACAAATTATGCCTCTAAACTAGGAAACTCTAAGTTAGGAAAGATACTAATCTTAGGAGATGTAATCCCTTGAAATAAGGGATTGAAAACAAAGAATAATTACAGAATCTCTTAACTTAAGGGATTGACAACTCATTTTTATAATTTCTTCAACCTTACACTTACATAACCTACCGTATTAACAATTGGCTGAGCAATGAATGAACAAGAACACACAAATACAACTTTGGTTACCATGTAAGCATGAAGCAAACAGAAAATGTAAGTAAATATCATTGAAATAAGAAGCAAACAAAATTGATAGATTAAAGAAGGTATAGCACGTCATATACCTTGAAAGATCTTGACAAGTTATGAGCAGCTGAATTAATTCGACTTTTAGTAACACTGTTTCCAAAATTCAAACTAATCATCAGTGTACTCATTTGCAATAAAAATATTTATACTACTAGAAAGAACATGCCATATAAATCAGCAAAACCTCAACATGGATCTATAATATATACCAGTAAACTTTCAATCGGACCTATCGATTTTATTTTCATATCAAAATATTCCAGGCAACATATTTCATGAAATTAATGAATTAGAGTAATACCACTTTCCCAGATAAATCTAATTCAACGTTCCCTCGTGATGCCCAGCAGGATAAAGCAGTTAATTGCCAGTTTAAAGTATGAGCATGTAGAAAAAGAAAATATTAACATAGAAGTGGACATCACAGATAATTATAAAAAATGTTAAAAGACTTCCTAGAACTAATTTACACCCTTCATAAAGACAGAAACCAAAGATAGAAAAAAATGATAGAGCAGATAAAACAATTGAATTATGAGACACACACAGCCTGTTGATACTCCCCTCTAGCATCAACCACAATCACCATTAAAATTGACACATAAGCTACAACTCAACAAAGTATTTTTCAATAAATCGCAAACTTTACAATGGCATTTCTACTAATTGAAATTTTAATAGACTTCACTTCTGACCCTGATAAAGAACAGCAATGTTTAGAATAAAGGGAAAGGAGGTAAAACCAGTTGGACCTACGATTTCTTAGACAAACAAAAACGAATTTATCTCATTAAACTCTTTTGCCCGACTTGACTGTGTATGTAAATGAGGACTTCATTTTATTTCTGATTTTGACATATAAATAATCCCAGAGTTGAGCAGGGTAAGAACCAGAATGAAATCCTGCTTACGTTATTACAAAGCTATCACTCTCTCTATTCCTTGAGAGATGGTTCCTTGCATTGCCTGCTTGCTTTGAAGCAGTTTCACAAACTTTAGTCTTACCTGAAGCCAAAAAGGGGGGGGGGGAATTAGACAAGGAAAACAACCACTATCTTAGGGGAAATTCTGCAGTGCAGCGCTTAAAAAAATGGCGTGATCGGTTAAAATTTAGACCGGTTATGTTATATCATTTAACCGGAAACATTATCAAGCACAATAACATATTAGGTACCGCTTATATAATGTAATAGGTAGCGCTTATATAATTAAATAAGTTAATTACTTGAAACATTATCAAGAACAATAATATATTAGGTACCGCTTATATAATGTAATAGGTAGCGCTTATATAATAAAATAGGTTAATTACTAGAAACATTATCAAGTACAATAACATATTAGATAGCGCTTATATAACGTAATAGGTAGCGTTTATATAATAAAATATGTTAATTATTTAATTTGTTATTATAATATATTAAGTAAACGCCTAAAATATTACCAAGGATAACATAATCAGTTATTTACTAGAAACATTATCAAGTATAATAATGTAAACGGTAAAAAAAAAATAGGTGTTACCTATTACATTAAACTACTTACCGGATATGTTGAAACTATCGATTCCATTTAAATAAGTATCAACACTTTTAGAATTTAAAAGAAAAACAGTAATAGCGCCTATAAAGTATTAATACTTTATAAAAATGTATCAATATTTTACAATATAACATGTAAAAATATGACAAAACCAGTTTCATTATGAAAAAACCGATAAAATTTACCTAATATGTTGAAAGTATCGATCCTTTTTATAAAAGGGATAGGTACTTTACAATATAACAGGTAAAAATATGACAAAACCAGTTTCATTATGACAAAACCGGTAAAATTTACCTGATATGTTGAAAGTATCAAAAAGGATCGATACTTTACAATATAACAGGTAAAAATATGACAAAACCAATTTCATTATAACAAAACCGGTAAAATTTACCTGATATGTTGAAAGTATCGATCCTTTTTATAAAAATGTATTGATACGTTACAATATAACATGTAAAAATATGACAACCAGTTTCATTATGACAAAACGGTAAAATTTACCTGATATGTTGAATGTATCAATCCTTTTTATAAAAAGGATCGATACTTTACAATATAACATGTAAAAATATGACAAAACCAATTTCATTATGACAAAACCGGTAAAATTTACCTGATATGTTGAAAGTATTAATCTTTTTTATAAAAGGGATCGGTACTTTACAATATAACAGGTAAAAATATGACAAAACCAGTTTCATTATGACAAAACCGGTAAAATTTACCTGATATATTGAAAGTATCGATCTTTTTTATAAAAATGATCGATAATTTACAATATAACAGGTAAAAATATGACAAAATCAGTTTCATTATGACAAAACCAGTAAAATTTACCTGATATATTGAAAGTATAAATACTTTTTATAAAAATGTATCGATACTTTGTTGAAAATTATGTAATTTATGTTTCAAAAATTTTTAATAGTGCTTCATGTTTTCCAGTTATAATATTAATTTAATAATTTCATTTACTCAAAAAATTATTTGATTGTTTTGATATTTTATAAAATATTATTTAGAATTTAAATTTAACAATTTTAACCAAAGATAATAATAAATATGTAATATATATGTTAATTATTAATAATAATATATATTGTAACATAAAAATAAACCATGTATAATTACTAAATTAATATCTTAAAACTCACTAAAAAAATAACCTTAAATTAATGTTTTCCACAGAGGTAGCGCTTATATAATAAAATAGGTTAATTTTTGGAAACATTATCAAGCACAATAACATATTAGGTACCGGTTATATAATGTAATAGGTAGTGCTTATATAATAAAATAGGTTAATTATTGAAAACATTATCAAGCACAATAACATATTAAGTAGCGCTTATAAAAAGTAATAAGTAACGCTTATATAATAAAATAGGTTAATTATTTAATTTGTTATTACAATATATTAGGTAAACGCCTAAAATATTACCAATAATAACATAACCGATTATTTACTGGAAACATTATTAAATATAATAATGTAAACGGTAAAAAAAAATAGACGCTACCTATTACATTAAACTACCTACCAGATATGTTGAAACTATCGATTCCATTTAAATAAGTATCGACACTTTTAGAATTTAAAAGGAAAACAGTAATAGCACCTATAAAGTATTAATACTTTATAAAAATGTATCGATACTTTACAATATAACAGGTAAAAATATGACAAAACCAGTTTCATTATGACAAAACCGGTAAAATTTACCTGATCTGTTGAAAGTATCGATCCTTTAAAATTTACCTGATATGTTGAAAGTATCGAACCTTTTTATAAAAATGATCGATACTTTACAATATAACGAGTAAAAATATGACAAAACCGGTAAAATTTACATGATATGTTGAAAGTATTAATCCTTTTTATAAAAAGGATCGGTACTTTACAATATAACAGGTAAAAAAATGACAAAACCGATAAAATTTACCTGATATGTTGAAAGTATCGATCTTTTTTATAAAAAAGATCGATAGTTTACAATATAACATGTAAAAATATGACAAAATCAGTTTCATTATGACAACCGATAAAATTTACCTGATATGTTGAAAGTATAAATACTTTTTATAAAAATGTATCGATACTTTGTTGAAAATTATGTAATTTATGTTTCAAAAAATTTTAATAGTGCCTCATGTTTTCCAGCTATAATATTAATTTAATAATTCTATTTACTCAAAAAATTATTTGATTGTTTTGATATTTTATAAAATATTATTTAGAATTTAAATTTAACAATTTTAACCAAATATAATAATAAATATGTAATATATATGTTTATTATTTTTAATTTAATAATAATATATACTGTAACATAAAAATAAACCATTAGACGCGTATAATTACTAAATTAATATCTTAAAACTCACTTAAAAGATAACCTTAAATTAATGTTTTCCACAAAAGTAGCGCTTATATAATAAAATAGATTAATTATTGGAAACATTATCAAGCACAATAACATATTAGGTACCAGTTATATAATGTAATAGGTAGTACTTATATAATAAAATAGGTTAATTACTGGAAACATTATCAAACAGAATAACATATTAAATAGCGCTTATATAAAGTAATATGTAGCACTTATATAATAAAATAGATTAATTATTTAATTTGTTATTACAATATATTAGATAAACACCTAAAATATTACCAATGATAACATAATCGATTATTTACTGGAAACATTATTAAGTATAGTAATGTAAACGGTAAAAAAAATAGGCGCTACCTATTATATTAAACTACCTACCGGATATGTTGAAACTATCGATTCCATTTAAATAAGTATCGACACTTTTAGAATTTAAAAGAAAAGCAATAATAACACCTATAAAGTATTAATACTTTATAAAAATGTATCGATACTTTACAATATAACATGTAAAATTATGACAAAACCAGTTTCATTATGAGAAAACCGCTAAAATTTATCTGATATGTTGAAAGTATCGATTCTTTTTATAAAAAGGATCGATACTTTACAATATAACAGATAAAAATATAAAAAACTAGTTTCATTATGACAAAACCGATAAAATTTACCTGATATTTTGAAAGTATAGATACTTTTTATAAAAATGTATCAATAGTTTGTTGAAAGTTATGTAATTTATGTTTCAAAAATTTTTAATAGTACTTCATGTTATCCACCTACAATATTAATTTAATAATTTCATTTACACAAATTATTTAATTGTTTTGATATTTTATAAAATATTATTTAGAATTTAAATTTAACAATTTTAATCAAAAATAATAATAAATATGTAATATCTATGTTTATTATTTTTAATTTAATAATAATATATACCTTAACATAAAATTAAACCATTAGACGTGTATAATTACTAAATTAATATCTTAAAACTCACTCAAAAGATAACCTTAAATTAATGTTTTCTACAATGAAATAAGTATGGACACTTATATATATTTATCGATACTTATATATATTTATCGATACTACCGATAACCAAAGTTTACCGGTTACCAAATTTTTTAATAGTTTTTCATGTTTTTTTACTTAAAACATTATTAGTCTGTCAACATAATAGGTAGCGCTAAACCAAATTTATTAAATATCCTTTAATGTATCTGATAATGTCGTATATTAGTTGTTTTTCCTGAGACAATCCCCTATCTTAGTGACTCGAACTTTGGGCCATGGACTTTTGGAGATTTAAGAAAAACGGATCATGCATCTTACTCGTAATCCTGCTAGCTTCTGTAGCTTTTTCCTACATGGAAAAGGGGAAATTTAATGGGAAAAAAATAAAAGATGATAAAAGACAACCAGCAAGATAACATCATGAGTAGCACTGTTATTTTTTTCTTCTTTTCTTTTAGAAAGTGAAATAACAATTTTCAAATTTTCAATGTTTTTTTAAATTCACACACCTTGTTGGTGGAAGTGGATTCCTTGTTGTCCTGAATAAATAAAGAAAATAATGCAACAATAATAATTGAATTGAGGAAAACTTGATCAGATAATTTTAACAGTAGTCATACGAGCAGGTTGCATCCTGCACTCCAAACGAAATTTGAAAGTCTATTTAGCAGTGTACCTGCCAATAGTAACAACAGATTTACGATCTGAATTCTGAGTTGTAACACTTTGGACACTCAAGGAAGTCTTCGGATCTATAATACTTTCTGTTCTCAAAAAGCAAAACTTGCTTATATGTCGTTGTGCCAGTGAAAGTTTCCAAAACAACTGTATACATAATTGAATGCTACCTTTCTTTGAAGAATGAAAGCCGATAGCACCTCGATTAGGATGGTCCTTCTCTTTTCCCTATTTTAAAAGATATTCTGAAATAGATCAATTCCTTTGTAGTGGAAAATCAAATGAATAAATCAAAACTACAACTTGAATTTTCTTTCGTTAATTTGGTCTGAGATACCATAAATGTGAAATAAAACACTCAAAAAACTTAATTAGATCTAGCAGTTTGAAAGTCCTAAACTTCATCCAAGTTATTATTAAACCCAACAATAAAGATAAATGTTTCATCCTACCACTTTTCATTGGTTATACTTTCCCTTCAACAATTTTTCATGATTTAATGTTCATTACAATCAGAGCTCTTTTCTACCCTTTGAGTGATTTAGTTACTAATTGGGTGATAATATGATATCGGCAGTACACATGCCATTAAACTAGCAATTACAACAGTTCCAGAACTAGTTTACCCAGATTTTAGTTATTAGTTTTCACACTTAAGTGACATCATATATGTTTGAGGAGCTGGAAGGGTAGGGGAAAAAAGAAAAGAACTCTGAACTTCTAATTTAGCCCTTGTACCTTGGAAGCTCTCCCGAATGAGACATTAAAAGTTTTTGCAACTGAAGCCACTGAAACCCTGCAAATAAATTACTTCACATATTTTAACTATCACCTAATAAACAAGAAACAAATTAACATATAAATATCCATATAAAGCTACATCTTCTTCAATAGAACTTTACATACTTGGCCCATATTCATTTTGGATAAATGAAACTTTTTCCTCATTCAATAACAATGCAGACATCGGAGTGTAGAGAAGGGGATGCAAATGTATGTCATCAGAGTGTAGAGAAGTGGATGCAAATGTATGTGTAACTACTACAACACTTCATAGAGAGAAACAAAATAGCATATGCGTATACCATTGAAAAAAAAAGATACACTGACTATATGGAAAAGGGTCTATTGTGTCCTGAAATCTCGGAATACATCAGATCCACACCCAAACAGGAAACAATAACAAGAATCAAGTTTCATACCGTTCAATCAAGGCACTTCTATGATTCTTACTGCATTGCAAAACGAGCAAGTAAAAGCAACTAGTTAATACAATTGCAGAAAGAGCTAACAATTCGAAAGTACAGTAAAAAAGTCACTCACGTTGATTTAGAGCCATCATAAACTTTCGTGGAAGAAACCAAAGAAGTAAGATTGCTAAGATCTGACAGCGCTTTTCTTTGAAGAATTTTATTTTCTGAAAAGTGTTATGCAAAGAATTGTAAACAGAGTTCTCACGGCATAGAACCGATATAATAATTATGAAAAATTGTTGCAAATGCAAATGAAGCTTACCAGAATTATCACGCCTGCCTTTGGTCCTGGTCATATTCTTCAAAGACCCCTTTAAATTACATTTGGAAGTTAAACATGAATATAAATAAAAGCAACCAATTTAAATAATGCATGCGTTATTAAGGGAATCAATAAAAATGGTATAAACCTTTGGATCATCTTCTTTTCTGCATACTATTGATTTCCTCCTAGAAAAAATTAAGAGAAAAAGAACAATCAAATTGTTCTTTATTTAAAATGAAAATAATCAGATAATGTTCTAATTAAGCAAAAAAAAAAACTTACATGGTAGATGCTTCATTTTGGGAATAAATTTTGAGACCTTTTCACACAAACGAGAGCAGAAAATAAAGATTGTAAAGGAAAACATAAAACAAAATTACGAAATACAACAAAGTGAGAATAGATAAGGTTACCACGACAGAAGCCATGTTGATCTCCTGTTTTTCCCTGAAAATGAGAGCATATACTGATGAAAAACGAAACCCTAACTGGGATTTAAAGGGAAAAGAAAGATTTCTAAAAAGAGATTGTGAGAAACAACAGAAATGTCATTGTAGACTAAGAATTACAAGTATTCTTAAGAATGAGAGAGAAAATACCTTGAGCTTGAGAGATGTCATTTTGAATGGATTTGAGTAGTTTTCTTTTCCCCTCGAAGAAAAATACCTTGGCCTTACAGAGAGAGAGAAGTTAAATGTTAGCTTATGGTGAATAGCCCGCCTCTCTTCTTCACTTTTGCTTTTCAAATTGTTTCAAACTGCGAGATTATTTGCATGGCAGGCTGGCTCAGGTTCAAATCACTTCTTTTCTTTTGGGCTTTCTATATAGGTTTAAGTATGTCATGGATCCCTATACTATTTCAAACTTTTAAAATTTAGTCTTTCTTCTTTACTTTTATAAATCTGGGTTCTATTTTGGTTTTTATTGAAAATATCTGTGTTTCTTCCCTAATTTTAACTACCGACCTATCAACTATATAAAAGGCTGATTTTTTGCAATAATTCAATCGAAAAAATTGTTCGAATAGTGCACCAGAGAGATTATTTGTTTGAATAGGGTGAATGCTACAGTATAGAATGGAGTAGCATTGTGCTCCCCGCATCTCCCCAAGGTCGCATGGAACACCATGCGACTCCCCCTTCCCCGGATCACCATGCGTCTTTCCCTACCTTTAATTTTATTTTACCTTGTTTTAATTCTTTTTGATTTTCCACTATATTGCAAAATTAAAGGTTTTGTAATAAGCATTTAAAAGGCTAAAATATAGGGGGGAAGACGCATGGTGATCTGGGAAGGGGCAGTTGCATGGTATTCCATGCGACCTTGGGGGAGACGCGGGGAGCCCAATGCTACTCCGTTCTATACTGTAGCATTCACCTTATTTGAGTAAATAATCTCTCTAGTGCACTATTTGAACAATTTTTTCGCTACATTATTGCAGAAATTCAGCCCTATATAAAAAATTAAATAACTTGTTCAATTCTTTATGTTTATAGTTTCTTTTTATCGAGTTGACTCTTGAAAGTTAATTATAATGTAGATGATTGAAAAAAATGTATTGCTCGATTAATGGAGTATTTTTTTTATTTTAAAATATTAAGGTTCAAATTGATAAAAAGAATTATAAATATAAGGGACTAAAATTTTATTTTTCCTTTTTTAAAAAGCGTCAAGTTAATGGTAAAATTGAATAGAAGTTAGAGGAAATACTAACATTTAATAGAAGTTAGAGGAAATACTAAATTTTTCAAATAAAAAATAGTATAAAAATTAATTTTATAAAAAGTATAAATGCTAACTTTTTAAATTTTAAGATAGTACATATACCAAACATATTTAAATTTTATAAATATATACATATATATAAAGATATTAATTGATACATTTTAAGGTTTGAGACATAATTAAATGCTCAAAAATATTGCATTTTTCACTTTAAAATGTTTACAACCCCGTACACACATGTAATTGCCTTGTAGTTAGAATTTTAAGGGTAAAGGACACAAATGGCTTGATTATAAGTCAATATATTGTTTGATTTCTTGACTATTAAAAGTTATAAAATACTCTCCCGACTATAGGATGTTATTTTGTTGAGTCTCTCGATATTAAAATTTATAAAATGGTCACTCAACTATTCATATGTTCCAAACTCGTCATTTTTTGTTAAAAATAGACGGTCGTTTGAATTGGATGTTAACTTGTTAACTGAAATATGATAAAATTTATTCTCAAACCGCTTGAGTTGTATTTTGTGAATCGACTTTCCGTTTACATTATGTCGTTAAGTTAGTGCTTGAAACATTATGTCATCGAGTCAATGCTTGAAAGCAACGACGATGCAAATGGGCATCATTAAAATATGATTTTATCATATCTCAGTCAGCATGTTAATGTTTAGCTCAGACAACTGTCAAATTTTTAATGGATAAAGTACAATTTGAAACATATGAATAGTCAGGTGATCATTTTGTAACTTTTAATAGTTGAATGACTCAACAAAATAACACTTTATAATCGGAAAATCATTTTATAACTTTTAATAGTTGAAAAACTATTAATACCTTATAATTATAGGATGATTTGTGTATATTACCCCCAATTTTAATTGATACCAGGTATGTAAAATGGATTTTAAATGCTTAATCTCTCAACTTCGTTACATGGTAATAAAAATTAGGATAAATTATTAAAATGTTAAATCAATTACTAGGGTGTTATTAACTCAATCGTCAAAACAAAAGTCCTTCAAAAGTGAACAATTTGTTATCAATTTAGCCACCGCTGTTAAAAAACCGTCAAATAACGATATATTAAAGGGTAAATCACATCATCTCTCATTGAATTTTACTTTCTCTCCTATTTTACTCACTATACTTTCAATTTTTCTAATTTACTCATTAAACTTTTGAATTGTTTATATTTGATCAATTTGAATTATTTTTATTATTATTGTATGACGTGACATTTTTTATTATTATGTACTATAAAAATTTTTAAAACATAAAATAAAAATAGAAGGTAGTCAAACGCCACCGTTTATCGTCATAAATGGTGGTCGTTCTATCCCAAATTTCATGAGTCGCTTCATCTCGACACTTTGAGTCTAAGTCTGACCTCCATTTGGTTGAAACTTGTTCCGAGGTCCATTGGAGATCGAAAGTAAGGAAGCCAAAATGTTACAGTCAAGATTTACAGGTTTTAGGACATTTTTCGAAGAAACAACCACCAAATTCAGACTCAAGAAGTCGAGGCAAATCGATCCATGAAATTTGAGACCGAACGACCATCATTTAACCCCATTTTGTTTTATTTTATATTTTAAATTATTTTTATATTAAATAATAAAAAAATGTCATGCCATATGAAAATAATAATAAAATAATTCAGAATAATCAAAATAAGAGCAATTCGAAAGTTCAGTGTGTAAATTATAAAAATTGAAAGTACAATGAGTAAAATAAGGGATAGAATAAAGTTTAGCAATGAATGATATACTTTATCCTATATTATATTATCAAGTCATCTGATGCATTTCTCTATTTTACTCTTCAAACCATAAACACATTCCCAGCCATTACCGTCCTGGGAACCAAGATTCTAATTGAAAGGGGACAAAATATAATTACCAATAGAAAATAGGATATAAAATCAAAATAAACCAAAATTTAAATAGATATTTGTCCTTATAATTTTTAATGATTAAAAAAATTAGGGATAGTGGCCCTCAAGCCCCTACGTAGTAGCTCCACCCATTGACCATTACCCATCATTTTATGTATTATCACTCATAAAACAATTTTAAATTGAAAAAATCTATTACATTTTGAGCTTTGTTTTGAAAACGGACCAGATCGGCCGGTTCAATCCGGAATTATTGCTTAGTCCGATTCAATCTAAACCGGTTGAATCGCTATTAGTGAACCGGCCAGAACCGCTGAACCGTTCGAACCGGACCGGCTGAAAATCGGAAAAAACCAGGATTTTTGTTTTTTTTAAAAAAAATTAAACCAAACAACGTCGTTTGTTAAACGAGCCAAGTCGAACTCGAGTATTGCTGAGCTCGACTCGAACTTGAAAACTTTAAAAGTAAGCTCAACTCAACTCAAACTCACAAGCTAAAAATTATCAAGTTCAACTCAAACTCGAAATATAATATTGAAACTTGAACTCAAAAAGGCTTGAACTCAAAAAAATTTAGAAGCTCGATTGAAGCCTAAAATTCGAGCTTGATTGAAGTGAAAGAATAGTTCACTCAATTCTCACCAAAAGGCTCCATGATTTTGAATGTCAAATTACCTCTATTATTTATAGAAGTTAGTTGTGATGCGCTTCTATGTTTCTTAGCAATGTGAGATTGTTTTGTTCTCATATTTTTACTCTTTAGACTTTTGGGATGCTCTTCTATGTTTCTTAGCCATGTGGAATTGTTTTTAAAAAAAAATTAAATCAAACAATATCATTTTGTTATGCTTTTTTTAACCTAAAATTTATTTTTTAATTATAGTTATATAATTATATTTATTATTTAATATGTTTTACCTTAAATATTATGTTGTAGTTAATTTGAATCATTTTGTTTCACTTAATTTTATGGTTTTTAACTTATATATGTTATGACTTGCTTTGAATATGACTTGTGATATAAAAAATTATTTTTTATTAAATATTTTTAGTATTTTTATTTAATTTTTTAAATAATTATGACGTCGTCTGGTTCTTCCGACTGGTCAGACCGGTTCAACCGATTGAACCAGTGAACCGGTAGCATGACCGGTTCGCTAACCGATCCGGTTCTGAAAACCATGATTTTGAGTACCAATACAACATTGAGTAGTAAATTAGACATGGTTTTAATTGAAGAACACACAAACTAAGATTATAATAGGGTTGTATCTCAAAATGTTACAGCACTGTAAGTTGACAAGTAAGGCAGAGGTAAATGTAGACACTTGTTTTTGTTCGGGTCTAAAAAAATAATATTATATTATTATTACTATTATTTTCATTTTAATTACATTTTTGTAGGCCTAAACCCGAGCCCACTAACACTCAGCAGACCCAGCTTAACCCCTACCCAAAGGCCCAACATTCAACCTAGAGCCTAACAGGTGACCCAACATGTAAGACCCAATTCAGCAACCCAATGTGAAACTGGGACCTGACCCGATTGGAGCCCCATCGCTGATCTAGATCCAACCTGGCCCTCTAGGGTTTCTGAAACTCTAACCCTAGGGTATGATGTTGTACCCGCCACTGTCTCCCCTGCCCATGCTACCGCCGATTATTCCCCTACACCAACAGTGACCCACCAATCCATCAAACAGTGACATAGAAAGCAAATCAAGCAAGGAAACTCCATAAAAAATAGGAGCAAATCAAATCCAAAACCCCAATGAGATTTATCAAATCCATCAGTAATAAACAAAATTCATAGAAAAGCAAATAAAAAGATAGAAGAAAGATATCAGTGAGGGGGAAGCCATTCGGAGAACCACAAAAAATATAAGATTCGGGGGGTTAAAAAAATACAGGGGGCTTGAGAGAGAAAAATAAAAGAGAAAAATAACAAAGAGGAAAGGGTTTTTACCTTGTTGCGCGGTCGTGGAACACCAAAAGTCGTCGATTCTCAACGTTTCTTCGAGAGGTAAGCTTGTAGATCTGGGGGCCTAGAGTGAGTTTTAGGTTAAGATGGTTAGGGATTTGGGTTGAGGATGATGAAAAGAAT